ATTCAACCAGCGTAAGTAGAACAATTACCCTAGGTCCAACACATAGGCTAAGGATCAATAATCCCTATGTGCCCAAGATAAATTTAACAAAGTGTCTCAAATAAAAAGTATTAAAAGTGATAAAAAATTGAATAAAATTATAGTTCAAAAGATTCATACAAAGTTAAATCAACATATAATCCAACAAGATTGAAAAATGTTTATCATACACAACCTAACCTAGAAGAGTTTAGCTCCCCGTGCTTAAAATTACAATACCATTTGAAATAAGGAGAATAACATATGAATTCCCTTGAAGGATTGACCTCCAATGTCTTTCAATGCTTTTAAAATCACCCTTTAATGCTGTAAAATCGTGCTTCAAGTGCCAAAACTCGTAACCCTTACAAAAGTGCAGAAATTCCCCTTAAAAAGAGCATAAAACGGGTCATAACACATCAGGAAAAGCCCAGAAAAAGGTGTCATCGGGTGCATTATATATGTATCGTGTGTGCGATACAACTAGTACATCCATATCACATGCGCGATATTGCACATGATTATTCTAGTAGCTGCATGGTTTTGCTCCCCTATTCACCTAAATTTTCACTAAGTCCAATTCCTTTAAACTTAGCTATTTTCTCCTCATTCTTGGGTCTTTCTTCTTCCTTTTGACTCATCTTTCGCTTATTTTTTTCTGATTCTTCGCCAAATTTCATGCAATGATGGACTGTCATTACAACCTCAAACTTGTATCATTACTTGTCCTTAAGTAACTCGCATGTAACTACACATTTCAACAGAAAACAAGTCACATAATAACAATTGAACATCACCATATAACATTTTTTTTCGTTACCTGACCATTGTTCTAACTTCCAACTTCCATCCAACAAATTTGAAAAACGTCCTCAACATTGACGAGTACTCAAACATGTCTCGCAACTCACAATGACTCACTTAATGGATAAGGTCATCTCTTAATCAACATGAAAGATAAATTATGCTTAGTTTGATCATGTTCTAAAATAATTCATCACAAAGATCATAACCCATAAATTAGAGGTCTTTTGAGGTTGTAACTTGACTTATGTTTGGGTAAGATATTTTTAGAAAAATAGGTTTAAACCTTTGGAATTAGGTAACTAGTTCTCCTTCTATTCTCATATATTTTTGTTCCTTTTTTTTGGTAATAGAGACTTGGTTCTTATTTTTATTCTTTTTTTTGTTCTTTTTTTTTTGAAGAAGTGTCTTTTTCCACTTCTTATTTACTCAAAGTTTTTGAATTTTGGACCAATTTTCTCCAGTACCTCAACCCCAAACTTAGAACTTTGCTCACTTCAGAGAACCTCATACTTAATCTTTTTCATACAACTTAAGACTAAACTTCTACCTAACTCCAAAGAGATGGTGGAAATAAGAGATCTTTTAAGTCATATGGCGAAGAATTTTATGCTACGTCACCGAAAAAAGGCTAGGCTCAAAGTGGCTAGCAAAATGATATTTCTATTACTACATGGTGATTACAAAGGCTCAAAGATATAAACAAAGAATTGTCTCAATGAATATCAATCAACCCAGATAAGTTTAATCGAAGATAGATCAAACCAGATAAAATAATAACGTATTGATACATTTAATGAGAATAAAATACCTTAGTTAGAGAATCATCTAGCATGAAATTAGTATTAATTCATTTAACATTTTGGATATTAGAATTAACAGAGTTGCACAATGCCATGACAGCCACAATGAAATTTAATTTGAGAAAGACTCCAATGTCGTCGGTTGCTTCTAAAGATCCTAAATTTAGATTAAGCCAAAAGAAGTGGTGGAAGAGAAAGAAGATGTTTATTGGATCTCACAATCGTTTTGTTTACAAACAATTATAGTGTTTATAAAGCTAACATAAGCATGAGTTAAGGAAGGAAGGGTGTTGTTAAAATATGAACCTAAAAGTCCAATATTAAAAAAAATTATTAATTTGATCAAAAAAAATTTAATTGATTAATTTTTTAAAAACAATTAAAATTTGTATTTAATGATTTCAAAATATATTTATAAAAAATTTTTTTAATAAAATTATTAATATCAAAATATCTCGTGAAATTTCAAATTTGAACAGAGTTAAATTTCTTGTCAACCAATAAATAAAATATTCTAGTTAGGGGTGGCAAAAATGGACGAATTGAATGAATATAAATTGTATTGTTAATGGATGGATCAAAACAATTTATTAATTCATTAATAATCCACTAAAATTTTCTTAAAATTATACAATCCAATCCATCCGTTAAGAAAAAAATTCTTCTAATTCATCAATTAACATATTTTTAATGGATAGATATCCATCCATCCAACTTTTATTTTTATTTTTAAAAACAAACTTATTTTTTAAAAAAATCGATTTTATTTTATTTTCAAAAAATTTATTTTTTGTATTTAAAAAAAATATATTTTTTAATATATTCATGAAAACAAACTAAATTTGGTGTTTTAGAAAAAAAACTATTTTTTATATTTTCAAGAAAAAAATTATATTTTTTGAAAAAAAATTAATTTTTTGTATTTTTGAAAAAAATCAAATTTTATGTTCAAAGTATATACGATAACATCTAAAGTGGCGTTACGTGTTATCATGTACTAATAGTGTAAGCATATCCTACTCATATTATAACCAAAACCCTATCATGTAAGATATCATGCTTAAAAAGTTTATGGTAATGTAAATTAACAAAATAATTATTTTAATAGAAAAGTTTAATCATATGTTTCCAAAGTAGACATTAAATTGCATAAACAGTAACCATTAAGCACTGAGAAATTAAGAGGGAGAGAATTAGCAACTTGATTATTAACGTTTGGCTGAGAATGGATTAAAAAAAATTCTGAAAAAAATTGTTTTTTGAGGAAAAAAATTAGTTTTTTATTTTGAAAAAAAAAATTGGTTTTTTTGGTAAAAAATCAATTCTTTTCTTTAAAAAAATTCATTTTTAGTTACAACTTGATTATTAACGTTTGGCTGAGAATGGATTAAAAAAAATTCTGAAAAAAATTGTTTTTTAAGAAAAAAAATTAGTTTTTTATTTTGAAAAAAAATTTGGTTTTTTTGGATAAAAAATCAATTCTTTTCTTTAAAAAAATTTATTTTTAGTTATTTTTAAAAAAAAAAAATTTAACAGAAATAAAAATGATTCATTGGATCCTTAAAATATGTTAGATGGATTAAATCAATCCATGTATATAAATGGATGAATTTAATGTAATCCATTAATTTATTTTTTATAGAGTGAATTAATTAGATGAATTTTTTTATGGATGAATTGAATGAATTTTTTCATTGCCACCTCTAATTCTAGTGATTAAATTTATTAATTAATTTTTTAGTATGATAACAACGTGTTTAATCTTTCCTAAATTGTAGGAAATTGATCGAAACATATGAGAATATGGTATGAAGTTTCAAACTTTGAACAAATCAGATTAGGTCTAGGAATATGATTAAAGAAGTAGTTAGTTATTATGTATCTTTTCTAAATAACAATTTTCTCTTTTATACTAGCTTACTAAACATTACTTTGACCACCTGTGTTTCATAGTACTAATATTTTATTTCTCTATAAGAGTAATTTTAGCGCAGGTTTCATAGTACTAGTATTTTATTTTTTCATAAGAGTAATTTTAGCGCAGGGTTGTTAAACTAAAATTTTATATACCTTACATTAGTAATAAAGAATTTGCATTATATTAGAACTGACATGTCATATAATGAACTAAAATTTAGTTTTCATTGTCTATATAGTTAACTTTAACTATTCAATGGAAAGCATATTATAATATTATTTAATACTAATAAAATGTTTATATGTTTTTTTTCTAAATAACACAACTTAAAAGTGTTTGATTTTTTTAAAGTAATTTTTAATTTTAAATCACTTTTACATGAACGTATCGAAACATAAACACATTTTACTAAACTTACATCTATTAAAATCAATTTTGCTAAACTCAATTTTATCAAAATCAATTATGTACACGCAAATTCAAACACAAAATAAATCAACCATGACCAAACAAACTAATGCTAACATGAATTTTTAAAATTTTGGTTTAAAAACATAAAACTTTGTTTTAAAAACATAAAACTTTAAACGACATGCATATATTTGAAAATACCTTAATTTATAACTTAAGAAATCTTTAAATGAAAGTGAACTTTAAATACGCACATAAACATAAAAATTTCAACTTCAAGGTTTGGGGTGGTTTTATATAAACAAAAATAAAGTTCAATATAACATCTGATTTATAGTTATGGAAGATGAGACATTTGGTTCAATATATCTACCACCAAATTGAGTCTTTTACGTTGTTTTCACAATTATAGGATTTATTGAAGAAAAATCATGAGATTTAGAGTTAAATCATAAGGTTTCTATGATACTCTACGTTGTGTGTATTAAAGAGAAAACGTGAGGGTTAATGTTAAATCACAAAGATCATATGGTACTCTTCATGAATTGTGTGTATGGTGGAGAAATCATGAGACTTATAGTTAAACCATACTCTACTTTGTGTGTATTGGAAAAAAAAACATGAGGATTAAAGTTAAATCATGAGGGTTATATGATACTCTTTATTGTCATGTATTATTTTATATTCCTATGAAAATGTATTTTTTTTATGTATTATTGTTGTAAATTTTGTATCATTTTTAATTTTATTATAAAATATATTTAATATTATTTTAAGTTTTTAAGGTAAGTTTTATTAAAAAAATTGTATGTATTTTAATTAAAATAATTAAATTAATGGTAACTTGAATAAAAAATATAAAATGTAGGGTTAAGTTTTAGTTTCTTATAGACAATTATCGTTAAAGTAAAAACTACTCAAAATTTTTTAAATCCTATAAAAATATTTTGGGCCCAAAAAAAATATCTTACTTTACCCATTTAGTTTACTCCTATTAAAAATGTTCTAACACACAAACCAAACCAAATCTCAAACAAACATTAAATATGAATTGGGTTCGCGGTGATTTTTTAGGTAGTGGAAGCTTTGCCACTGTTAACTTAGCCACACATACAAAAAATTCTCTTAACTTTCCGTCTATTACCGCCGTCAAGTCCTCCGAAGAATACGCCTCACATTTCCTTCGAAAGGAAAAACATATATTAGATTGTTTAGGTTCTTCCCCACATATTATCCAGTGTCTTGGTCATGATCGTACTTTTGAAGACGGCCAAGAGTGTTATAATATATTTCTTGAATACGCCGCCGGTGGAACACTTTTCGATCAGCTCAAGAATCACGGAGGTAAGCTCTCGGAAACTCTCGTTCGCCGTTACACGAGGTCTATTCTACAAGGACTTAAATACATTCATGAAAACGGTTTCGTTCATTGCGATGTGAAGCTACAAAACATCCTCGTATTCGACCATGGAAATGTTAAGATTTCAGATTTTGGTCTTGCAAAGGAGAAAGGTTTAGAACACGGAGACAAGAAGTTGGAATGCAGAGGAACTCCTATTTTTATGGCGCCGGAGTCGATTAATGATGGTGTTTATGAATCTCCGGTGGATATTTGGGCTCTTGGTTGTGCCGTCGTGGAGATGATTAGCGGTAAACCAGCATGGAATATGAGTAGCAAGAAAAATATGTGGTCGTTGATGATTCGAATTGCGATCGGAGATGAATTACCTTTGATTCCAGATGAGTTATCGGAAGAAGGCAAAGATTTTCTTAGAAAGTGTTTTGTTAAAGATTCATCGAAAAGATGGAGGGCTGAGATGCTTTTGAATCACCCTTTTATTTCGGATGATGAAAGTGTTTCAAATTTGAAAGATGAGTCCTTGCTATTAATGTCTCCAAGAACTCATTTCGATTTTTTTTCTTCTTCTACGGAATCGACTTTATCGACAGAGAGATTCCAACAATTACCAAATTAGAATTTTGATGAAGAATCTTTTCCATTGTAAATACTTCAACAACATTACATGAGGTTAGTTAATTCATCAGTTAGGTATTTTTGAAAATGTAAATCTTAAACTTAAAACATCAATCCTTATATTTTTAAGGGTCTGTTCATTGAAGTAGTTTTAATCAAAGTGGATATTATTGAATTAGATTTAGAATTTTATTTGGATAAAAAAAATAATAATAATAATAAACGAATTGATGACTTATACTTTTATGGCACGCAAGTTAAAAAATGTTAAAAGTGGAATTTTATTGTTTAAAAAATATACATTGTTAATACTTCAACAACATTACATGATGTTAGTCAATTTCTATATATGGTTACACAGATTCATGGTTTTTGTAGCGATCAAGTGTAAGAAGATTTTTTTATGCATTGTATCAAATTCAAGATTTAGACTTAGTAGGTGAGCTTATTTTAAGGATTCCAATATATTCTGAGTAATAAATTATTTAAATATATATATAGAAATTTAATTTTCAAGCTTTTTAAAAATATGTTTTGTTAGATATTATTTGTTATAGTTTTTATTAATTCTGTTATTAAGTCCTAGTATTTAGGAAGAATAAGTCAATTATGCTATCCTAATTTTTAGGGAGAGTCCGTTCTTATTTCAGTTTCTTAGTAACCACGTAGTAGGATAGGCTTATAAACGTGGTTTTCTGCCACTCTTCTGTTATGGAAAAAGGCTATAAAACAACCTATGTTTGTTTTGGATTTTAATGCAGTGTGTTATTTCTCCTATTGTTATCTCTTAGTCCTTGAGTTTTAACAATTGGTATCAGAGCTCCGAAAGGGGCCTGATAGAGTGTGAGTTAAACAAAGAGAGAACAGAATATCAACCTCAGAGAAGTTTGTGCAACCGTCCATTCCGAGGTTCGATGGCCATTATGATCATTGGTCAATGATGATGGAGAACTTCCTAAGGAGCAAGGAGATGTGGAGCCTAGTGGACGAAGGAACTCCAGCGCCGACAGTTGGGACAGCAGCAGCAAGTGAAGCACAGAGGAAGACTGTGGAGGAGGCCAAACTTAAAGATCTGAAGGTCAAGAACTTCTTATTCCAGGCAATTAACAGAGAAATCCTAGAAACAATTCTTGACAAGGGGTCGCCGAAGGCAATATGGAACTCAATGAAACAGAAGTATCAAGGGTCCACAAGAGTAAAAAGGGCACAACTTCAAGCATTGAGAAGGGAGTTTGAGTTGCTCACCATGAAAGAAGGAGAAAAAGTCGACAGTTTCTTGGGACGAACCTTGGTCGTGGTGAACAAGATGAAGTCAAATGGTGAGACAATGGATCAAAGTACAGTGGTTAGTAAGATACTTAGATCATTATCAAACAAATATAATTATGTTGTTTGTTCAATAGAGGAGTCAAATGATCTAAGTACCTTAAGCATTGATGAGTTGCATGGAAGTCTCCTTGTACATGAACAAATGATGCAACGAAACCAAGAGGAGGAACATGTGTTGAAAGTAGCTCATGAAGACAGGCCAAATAGGGGAAGAGGTCAAGGAGGTTTTAGAGGAGGGCGTGGCAGAGGTAGAGGGAGACACTCTCTAAACAAAGCAATTATTGAGTGTTTCAAATGCCATAAGTTGGGACACTTTCAAAACGAGTGTCCTGATTGGGAAAAGAGAGCAAATTATGCTGAGTTGGACGAAGAAGAAGAGCTTTTATTGATGTCCTATGAAGAACCTCATCAAACAATGAAAGAAGAAATATGGTACTTTGACTCGGGTTGTAGTAATCATATGACAGGGAACAAGGAATGGTTTTTAGACTTAGAAGAAGATTACTGCAAAACAGTGAAGCTTGGAAATGATATGAGAATGACAGTAGTAGCAAAAGGAAGTGTAAGGATGGAATTGAATGGCATAACTCAGGTAATATCGAATGTTTATTATATTCCTGAGCTTAAAAACAATTTATTAAGCATAGAACAACTTCAAGAAAAGGGGTTAGCCATTTTGATTCAGGATGGAACTTACAAAGTATTTCATCCTAAGAGGGGGTTAATTCTGCAAACTGATATGAGTAGAAATAGAATGTTTTATGGGTTAGCTTCCATAGCACAAAAACATTCTTTGTGTTTACAAGCTGAAGCTGCTTCAGAAGAAGATACTGTGTCAGAAAAAGAAGCGCACATGTGGCATTGTCGCTTTGGGCACTTGAATCACAAGGCACTAAGAACACTTTCATATAAGAAGATGGTAATTGGTTTACCCTCTTTGAAGTCTCCAAAGAAGATATGCACTACATGCTTAACGAGCAAGCAACATAAAAATCCTATTCTGAAGAAGAGCTTGTGGAGAGCATCAAAGCAACTTCAATTAGTACATTCAGATATATGTGGTCCTATCAAGCCACCTTCGAACAGTGACAAGAGGTACATCTTAAGTTTTATTGATGATTTCACTCATAAAACCTGGGTTTACTTCTTACATGAGAAGTCAAAAGCCTTTGCAACATTCAAAATTTATAAGGCTTGTGTTGAAAAGGAGACAGGTGCATACATAACTTGTTTGAGGACAGATAGGGGTGGTGAGTTCACCTCAAATGAGTTTGAAGAGTTCTGTCAATCTCAGGGCATCAGTCGATAATTGACAGTGGCTTATACTCCTCAACAGAACGGAGTTGCTGAAAGGAAAAACAGGACGGTTATGAATGTTGTTCGATCCATGTTAAACGAAAAGCAAGTACCAAAAGCTTTTTGGCCCGAAGCTGTGAGATGGTGTGTGCATATTCAGAACCGATGTCCAACAGCGGCAGTTGAAAATAAAACTCCAAAAGAGGCTTAAAGTGGTGAGAAACCTGTGGTGGAGTATTTTCGAATCTTTGGATGTGCTGCACATGTTCATGTACCAGATCAAAGAAGGAGCAAGTTGTATGATAGGCGTAGAAAATGTGTCTTTCTAGGAGTTAGTGATGAGTCCAAGGCATGGAGATTATACAATCCAACTTCAAAGAAGATTATTGTGAGTAAAGATGTTGTTTTTGAAAAAGAAGAAACCTGGGACTGGGGCAGAACAGAGGAAGATATCAAACGAGATATATTAGAATGGGAAGATGAGAGTGATGAAGAGGATGACCAGAATGAAGGGGAAAATGGTGGAACAGACTCTAACAGTTTGAGTAGCAGTCCTACAGAGTCACCTCCAAATGAGCCAAATACATACGGAGAATTAAATGAAGGGAGGGGTAAACGAGAAAGAAGAGCACGTAGATGGATGGAGAATTATGCAACTGGGGAAGGATTATCCGAAGAAGAAAACCTGAATGTAATGATGGAAGAAAATTTGAATGCAATGATGATGATGACTGAAAATGATCCAGTTTTATTTGAAGAAGCTATGCAGAGCAAAAATTGGAGAGAAGCAATGTCAAAAGAAATTGAAGCCATATAAAAGAATCAAACTTGGGAACTTACTGTGTTGCCTAAGGGAGTCAAACATATTGGAGTTAAGTGGGTCTTCAAAACAAAGCTTAACTAAGATGGGAATGCGGAGAAACTCAAAGCAAGACTGGTGGCAAAAGGGTGTGTACAACACCATGGAATTGATTACACCGAAGTATTTGCACCAGTGGCAAGACTTGACACCATACGTGTGATACTTGCAATGGCTGCTCATCTCAGTTGGGAGGTTTTTCAACTCGATGTGAAGAGCGCTTTTCTTCATGGGGAGCTTAAGGAGGAAGTGTTTGTCCAACAGCCTGAGGGGTTCATAAAGAAAGGAGAAGAAGATAAAGTCTATAGGTTGAGGAAGGAATTGTATGGCCTTAAACAAGCGCCGCAAGCTTGGTACAGTAGAATTGATGCCTATTTTGTTCGCGAAGGGTTCGAGAGGTGTCCTAGTGAGCACACACTATTCACAAAGTCGCTAGGAGGTAAAATATTAATAGTCAGTCTTTATGTTGATGACTTAATATTTACTGGGAATGATCGAGTTATGTGTGATGAGCTCAAAAATTCAATGATGTCAGAATTTGATATGTCTGACTTGGGAAGGATGAAACACTTTCTCGGAGTAGAAGTTAAATAGTGTTCGGAGGGAATTTTCATTTGTCAAAGCAGGTATGCGCGTGAAGTGTTAGCAAGATTTGGTATGGTGGACAATAATGCAGTGAAGAATCCAATAGTGCCTGGTTCAAAGTTGTCTAAGGACGAAGGAGGAGTTAGAGTTGATGCAACTCTATTTAAACAGGTGGTTGGAAGCCTCATGTATTTAACTGTAACTAGGCCTGACTTGATGTATGTAGTTAGTCTAATAAGCAGGTTCATGTCTAATCCCACCATGTCACACTGGCTTGCAGCAAAAAGAATTTTAAGGTACTTAAAAGGTACAACTGATCTTGGTATTTTTTATAAGAAAGGAGAAAGTAGCTTGAGACTCACCGCCTTTACAGATAGTGATTATGCCGGCGACTTAGATTATCGGAAAAATACCTCTGGGTTTGTGTTTATAATGGGGTCTGGAGCTGTCTCTTGGTCTTCAAAGAAACAAACTGTAGTTGCTCTTTCGACTATGGAAGCAGAGTACATAGCAGCATCATTGTGTGCTTGTCAGTGTGTCTGGATCAAAAGGGTGCTGGAGAAACTGGGAGTTGAAGAGAAGACAAGAACTATAATTATGTGTGATAACAGCTCCACTATACAGCTATCCAAGAATCTAGTGTTACATGGAAAAAGCAAGCATATCGATGTAAGGTTTCATTTCTTAAGAGACTTGGTGAATGATGGAGTCGTTGAACTAAGCTACTGCAACTCTCAGGATCAAATTGCAGATATAATGACAAAACCAATTAAGTTGGAGCAGTTTGAGAAGTTCCGCGACATGCTTGGAGTGACTTAAGCTACTAAAGTAAGCTAGATGCAGATACATTAGCTTAAGGGAGAGATTGTTAGATATTATTTGTTATAGTTTTTATTAATTCTGTTATTAAGTCCTAGTATTTAGGAAGAATA